ATGTCAATATAAAAAACTTGAAGCTATTGTTGTGCATCAAAAATTTATAATAAATATTATGATTCAATGACTTAAAAGACAATTAAATTTCGATTAAATTAAAATTTATAATTATAACATTATATTACAAACCTTTGGTATGAAAGATATAAACATAAGTTACATTAAAATTACATAAGGTCAATAATTTTACAACAGATATATTAAAAATTTTAATGTATTGATATATTTTATTATATAATATAAATAATCAGCATAAAAAATAACTGAAATTGCTCATGTATAGTTTGTTGTAAAAGTTAACAAGTACGCAATCTGTCAAATTTAAATAGTATATTTCTACATTTTTATTTCTTTATTATATATCAATTTTTTTATTTTGTATGGATTTATTTATGAATTTATAATAGTTGTACGTACAGTATTTTATGAGCTTATAAATGCTTAATGAGACACTCAAATTCTCTATAAATAATAATAATAACTATACCACATATTTTTTATTTTTTTATTTTCGACTTAGTAAAAGTTATTTTGGATGTTTATTATATGGAAACAAAATTTATGAATGATTAGAAAATATCACGATTAAGATTTGATATCAAAATTACAGATACGATATACATACTTAAAAATAAACAGCAATTTATGCAGTATTACAAATTATTTAGTAAATTAAGAAAGAAAAATAAGAATAAATTAAATTTGAAAAGTATACGTTACTACATGGGGATATTATGGATATTTGTATCGTGTCATATAATACAAGAATTAATTTTTCTTCTTCGTATTCAAATTCAGTTGAAATAAACAATTTTTCATATAGGTTGCAGATTTATAATTAATTCCAAAAAATGTCGTTTAAGAACAAATAATTGATTATTTGATTATTACTCATAAGAATAAATGATTTTTTAGACCACATAGCACTTAGTCGAATCAATAATTTCGACATGAATTTTCTAATAAAATAGTGCCGACGCCCTTCGAGCACCCATTTCGCAATATATATTTTCTTTATTGACTTGCGCCTGGCTACACGTATGCGCACGCACACTTGCACGCACAATTTGTGAAGTTATTGCGAGTTCCTACGATACATGATCAATAATTCAAAAGAATTTTTTGTTTACTTTCACGTTAAATTGCTTAATGATAAGCGTGAAGAAAATTTACATATTAATGCCTTTGTAAAGAGTATTTGCTTTCCGTTGTTTTACGAGGAATTGATATTGATTAAAAAATTTATATTTCTTTTACAAATTTAGCTTTCCATCAAAAATGTTTTATTTTCTTAAAACACAAACTTAGCAGTATGCATAAAAATTCTTATGTAGATAGAAAAAAAGTTTCAAATCAGTGTACACATATTTTATAAATGATCTGTTAACTCAAATAGCTTCTGTTAATAGAAATAAGTTAAATAATTTGATTCAATATAAAATGATATTAAATATTGAGATAAATATAAAAAGGTTTAGATGTTGTAAAGAAATATTATTACATTATATATTATGCTTTTCAAATTATTTCTGTGTTGAATATAATTATTTTTAGAGTTATATAATATTTAAAATGAACTATTTTATTCTACAAACTGATTTGAACAATAATAATAAATTATTCTGGATTATTTTATTGCAAAACTGAGTTCGCAATAAAAAATTTAAATATTTAATTTAATTGAAATATTTTATTTAATAATTTCAACAAATTGAACACTAGTTTAACATAATTTTGTGAAACTATATATTCTAAATTTTATTAATTTAATGTATTTATTTTACTAATATATATAATAAATTATTTTACATATTTAATTCAAAATAAAGCAAGAATTTAACAGTTTTACCAACCAGCATACATTTTTTATATTTTAAAAAAAGTAAGCAATCAGTTTTACATATATTATTTATAAATGAATCTTAATAATATGTTTTAAATGTTGATGTAGTTTTCTTTTAAGGTTTTTTAAAAAAATGTTTATTAATCCGAAGTGGAGATTTATCGACACCATCAAATTTGAATTTCATTTAAACTAATGAATGCTCATATATATTTATTTATACATAAAGATTTCTTCAATGATTATAATACATAAACTTAGTAATTAAACTGAAAGCTAGAATAAATATCTTTTTAAATATTTTAACATTCGATTCATTATTAAACATTAATATTTAAGATTCTTTATTTAGCTAGTATTTTAATGAAAAATTATACCGCATTTTAATCAATAAATAAGTAAACGAATGGGATTATTTCCGTTATGCAAAAATAGAAGACATTCAATCAAAAAATTTTCAGCTGAGAATAAAATTTTTATATTACATTAATTCTGTTGACTTACTCTATAATTTGATATACAGCATAATAGTTATAAAATTACTTGAGAAATAGTTTTACTCGTGTATTTCAAATTAATAATTTTTTTTCTTAACAGTATTCTTTCCATGCTTTATATTATGATCTGTATTGAAGGCAAACGGGATGAAACGACCAAAGATTTTCTTATATTTACTACAAAAATAACAGCGATTTTTATTAAAATTTTACAGTTCAGTGACAGTTGAAAAACTTTAGTTGGTGCTGCATAATCTCTAATAATTCACTGTTCCTAAACATATTTATTCGTTTTTCAAAAGTTACTTGAAATGGCTTAAAACTATTTAACCGAACATTGAGATAAAGAAATTTCAACCGATGTTATTCATTCCGCCGACAATCTGGATATAAAAGTAGATTAAAAATTTAAAGTCATGTAAAATTTATGTACATGGCTGAAAGCCCATTATATTTTATGTTTATATTAAAAGCAAAAAGTAGACATTAGTAAAGTCTGTAGATGTATCTAATATTCAGAAAGGAAACACTTTATAGCATAAACCGGTTTAGCATTACATATACAGTATAAAACCAGACATCATTAACTTAAAAATTGCAAATCAATTATCTAGATGTCTAATCTAGATTAGACATTGACTTTCCATTATCGTTCGTCGTCTTGAAAATACTGTATTATCCGCCAAGTTGAAAATACTATTGCACAATATTTATCAACAATTTTACAACACTGGGATTACAGGACAAAGGAACAAATGCAACATTACAATGGGATGAAAGAGGAAAGTTACGTGTCGACGCCAATTCGCCCACGCGTTTCTCACTTTCATTTTCGTCTGGAGATGCAAAGGGATCCTATAGACCAACGTTCTCCTACAGTAAAGTATATGCAGTCTGGCTCCGTTTCGTCGCATCGCAGCCGATGCGGCGTCCTCCCTCTCCAACTCATTCCTACGCTCTCTCTCTCTCTCTCTCTCTCTCTCTCCCTCTCTCCCTCCTTCCCGCCCACCCCCCGCCCTCTATCCATCCGTCGCACGCTCTCGAGTGCTCTCTCTCTCTCTCTCTCTCTCTCTATCTGTCTATCTCTCGCGCGTGCATGCTTTCTTACTCTCTCACTTGTAGAGAAAGAGAGAAAGATAGAGAGCACGAACCACGTTACTTCAGTCGTCCACTGATCGCCGAGGCGCACGGTTTTGTAGGGCATGCGACTTACGGCTACGTTAAGAATCTGTTACTGTGAGGATATTGTTTATTTTTTCCCCTTTATATTTACTGCTATTTATAGCGAGGACAACGTTCACATTTGTTTTGATAATTGCCAAAATCAGGTTGAAAACGAGACATCGATATTTAAATGCGATTGATATCGTTAATTGATGCTGATATTGCTTATAATATTTATTTAAATATAATACGTTTAATTACATAATGGCCATTGCTAAATTTACTTACAAGAAACAAGTGAGCTGAATATCGTGATAATACGTTACTCCATAAAATCTGTGTATATTTTCATTTGTTAGTGATGAGAATGTAATTACATTTTTAAACAGTCTAATATTCAACTGTTTATGTTTGTGAAAGAACAATTTTAATCGAGAATTAAATTTATAAATGTGTAGCGACAATGAAAGATATGTAATATGACATTTTAATATATCAGATTAGAGAAAAAAAAAGTTTGTGTAATAATAGGCCATTCGTAACTCCATGGTACGTTATGTTCTAGAATCGCCTATATAATTAGATACCAGATGTCAGTGACTTTATTTTTTAAGTGTATGCCATAATATATAACTGTAGGCATAAAAATATGTAACCTCTTAATCAATTTTTAATCAATAAATTGACATTCAAGAAAGTGTAGATTATGAAAGGTATGGAATAATTTTATTAAAGTACGGTGAAATAAGTCTACGCAAGATTGTAATAAAAAAAAATGGTATAGAAATGTAATTTTAGTAAGATTTAATTATACCAATAAAAATAAATTTATTGAATTTATTGACAGAAAGTTGCAACTCTTATGAAATATAACGATCTTAATTTTCTTTAATCAGAAACTTCTTGATTGCACTTTTGATAATTGATCGGTGGCGTAAGGTCTCAACGCTTGTCATTTGCTGAAAAAAAAAAATCGATTGCTGGCACGAATTTGACGTTATGAACGCTTGGTTTAATCGTAGCTTTGTCGCGGTAAATATTTGTCGATCAAAGTTGAAACAATCTGATACTAGCCGAGTATCAGCGTGTGTGTATATCCTATTGTTGTGGTACGCAGCTCGTTAGACTTTTAAATACAAGTATTTCATAATTAGGAGGTTTGGTAATTTTTTTAATTTCATGGAAAAATTAATGGATTCGAGCTTCTATTACTTAATGTGATAAATATTTAATGATATTTGTGATTTTACAGTGTGAGTTTGTCCAATACTTGGATTTAGTGAAGTGACAAGCATTTGGCTCTATTCTGGCGCTTGAGTGAAATATTTCCAGTGTGTAGTAGTGATGTTTTTGGTACATATATATGTTAAAATTGTCTGTTAAACCAGCAAAGAATATTACGGCTAATGAAAAGGAAATTTAAATTACAATCATATGTAAATAAATCCTGATCATTCGGTTATTTAAAATTAATTCAAATCGATCTATGCAAACTTGGTAATTTAATAGAATGAAATTGAAACATTAGCAAAGTATGTTATTACAAGAAATGCTATGTACAATTTTTTTTAAATCACCTCATCCGGTTAAAAGTAATTTTTTCAAACAAAATCAAGTTACGTAAAGAAACAACTCCTACAATAGATCTAATTCATTGGACGGAGAGTATTAAGCGTTGGACCTATCATACACCACGAATAACCCTTAAAGAATTTGTACCAAAGGCTCTATCTTTGCAACGTATCATCGACCGCTGACGACGCCATCGACGCCAACACTAAGCCACGTCAAGGCCAGAAGTTAGCGTGAGCCCATTGTCGATTAGTAGTAATGCGAGATCGGCATCATTCGAATTCATAAAATGTTGACAGCGCAATCGGTAGGGACGATGCGTGCTCCCGCAGCCCTTGGCCCCGTTGAGGGCAGCGACCACCTGTTTCTTCTGCCACAGAGGGCCCTGGGCATGGACAGTACTCACCTGAGACAGGACCTCGCAAGTCTCGACTTCAATCTTCATCTGAATCTCTTGCACACGGCACCCAAGGGCAACATCTGGCTATGTAAGTTGTGCGCACACACGTGCGTACTAGTGTACGTACGCACCAAGTGTGGGATGTAGCAATTTTTTTTTATGCTGCCGATAAGTGATCAGCTGATCAGCTTACATGTACAGCGTGTAGGTAGCTCCTTTGTTGCTTGAAACTCCTCAGCTCGATTCGCGTACTCCCGTACTTAGTGCTATTATCGTGGCCTCCTTTGTTCGACTGGTAGCTTATGGCTTATTATCATGTGAATGAGATTATATCGACTATATTGATTTTTACTACTTTAACGAAACGATAGTTATTCATTTGAAAATGATTTACGCAAGAAAAATTCTTTTACCTTTTCTACGTTTAACGTTTCTTAAGCCGCTTATATTTTAATTAATTATTATTACTAGAACATTTTCAGCGGTATCTAGCTAAAAATAATTTAAATTTCATTTCTAATCACTTGGCTCGCAATTTGATAATTAGCAAACTAAAATGAAAGCCGTTTTCTAAAAAATCTGATTATACAACATTTTTCTATAGCACTAAAGAGATATAATATATAGTTGTAGGAAAAAAAATTAAGGAGGTATGTCATTGTAGGTGTATACGATCACAAGAAATAAATGTAATTATCAGACGTACTCAGGATATGTTTAGCGCCCCTACAAAATTAAACTTTTGAAATTGCAAACGGTATCGCTAACTTCATGCGAAATGTCATTAACCTTAAATCACTCTTTTACTTCATAATGCTCGATAACTGTGACTCACTGAAGCTTCTATGGAATGTTAATATCTCTGACGGAATACATTTGATGTAAGACGAGAGCGCCTAGGATCTCTCGATCAAAATAAGTGGGCGTGCATCAATTAAATTCATTTGCGATGACAACAAAGTGTGCGCAATACCTCTGTTTTGTCCCAAGGTTCGCGGATACCGTGGCGCGACCCCGAAAGCCGCTAATAGGAGAAATAGTAGCCGTCAGACTTTTTCTCGGACATCTACGCTCATCCTACTTGCCTCTCTAAGTCGATCGACACAGCGTCTGTCTAGCGGGAAATTTTACCTCTTTTCTCGTTTCTCCACTCGTTCAACTTTTCTTGTCGCGTTTTATTCTTTGTGAAAACCTCGAGTGCTACTTAAACTGTTTTATATAGTCTGCAGATACTTACCGCTTGTCCTTATTCTTTGATTATTTAGAGAATCCGATTGTTTGAATTGACATTTTGTTTTTAACGATAGAGAGCTTTAAACGGCCGTATCTCTCCTTTAATTTTCTGTTTAACACAAACTAAATTTACAGCTAATCGCTATTTATGACTTTAATATATATATAAAAGTAAGTTAATACTAAAATAGTAAATCAAATTATGTTAAATTAATGTTTTATCTATGATTACGAAAAAATGTATACCCAAAAATATGTTTAATTATTTCACGTTGTGTTAATTTAAAAAATAATACCAATATAACAATAATAGATAATTCGTTTGCATAATTGATAACTCTTCAATAAAAATAGAGATTATTAAACAAAAAATGTTTATAAACGAAACACTTTCAATATTTTTTTTGTGCACTATTGCTTTAATGTCAAATTTTTATGATCTTATGTTTATTTTTATTTATTTTTACAAAAATATTATATCGTAACAATTGCTTCGATTTTTCCTTAATCTGTACATTTTATTTTCCAATCAATTAACTAGATTATTTTGTTACAACAAATTTTTAACTCAAAAATATGGAAAAAACAATAATTATAAACTGCATTTCAGGCAATAATTTTTTATAATTAAACCATTATATGTTATATAACAATGGAATTTATAGAAAATTTATTTAATAAAAAGAATAATTGTATAAGTGATTTTCAATTCTACTAAATAAGTATTCTCAATAATATTGAATATGATGTTCAAACATGATTTATTATAAAATATTATTAATTATAATATTTAATTCAAAATACTTGGAAGCTCTCATTAAATTCGTGACATTAATTCGAATAAGGTATTTTATATTATTTGGCTGCAGTCGTTCGAATTTTATAGAAACTTATCAAACTAATTTCAGAGGTCAAATTAACTATACCATAATAGCATTAAACTTTAGTACACAGTATCCTGGTAATATGTAAATAAAAGTTATTTAAAAATTAAATTATATTGTATTTAATATTTATTTTCATTTCAAAACCAATATTATTTATTGGATTGACGTGTCAACAATTTTTTTGCAATTTGGACAACGATTTATGAAAAATTTATTATGTAAAGTGTATATTTCAAATGAAGTCTTTTAAATATATGCTTAAGTGAGAAAAATATTTGAATGATAATTTTACCAATATTTCAAATATTTTTTCCTTTTTAATGGTTAAAATGATGTAATACTAATATTAAATTTATAAAAGGCTTTCAAATCACCCAATCCTTTTATCTGCTTTTTCATTTGTTTGATTAACACAAATACCTACATGGATGATTAAAAATTGATTGATTGATAATGTATATATAAAAAAAATATATATATATATATATGTATATATAGCTTATAAAGCATTGAGTCAATAAATATTTCTTTAATAAAATTTGGTGTATAAAACTTTTCAAGTTAAATATTATTTTGCGTACTTTCACAGATTTTAGTGCTAGTGTTGCTATTCAAGTTTAGAAAGTGATCATAGAAATTCCTACCGTTGCAAATAATTTTAAGCAAGCGCAATCGCATCGTTTACCATTGTTTATATCATTCCTTCTGTATCAAAAATATATCTCTTATAACCCTAAATTACCCGTCTGAAACATTCTCCGCACAAGAGGAATTTAACTTTTTTACAGAATTGAGAAATTCATTGCTCTTACTGTTGTGGGTATTATCCTCGATTTGCCTCCTCCTTCTTTCTCTATTACTACGTTCCCGTGCTGTGAAACAACTGTGCATCGTCTCCCGTCGCGCTGGTCCGGCTTTTGAGTGCGTCATGCCTACTGGTATTGTATGATCGACGTATAGCTGGTACCTACCTTAGTAAGAAATCACGTATTCGTACAATGGCGAGAAAGAGAGAGAGAGAGACAGACAGAGACAAAGAAGCCCTTAACTTTTTAAAATCTGACGCGTTCGCCTTTTAATCTTAATCGAAGATTTTAAGGGGGCGTTAATGCCCATTTTTATGCTTTTCGATAACAGCGTAGCTATTGAGATCATTGAAGCGCGAAGGAAAACGATTCAGCGATTTATTCTTTCTTTTTCGAAATAAAAGGTTTTTGTGGCATTCTCACGAAACTACGCGGTAAACGTTAGAGCGCATATGTCTGCATTAAGATAGGCTGCTCAGCTTCGAGTTAGGTTATTAGGGTTTTCAATAATTTTATACAATTTCAGAAATTATGCGCTTAAGTCTTAAATTTTATTGGATATTTTATTCTTCCTTTTGAGTGATTTCAACATTTTTATAACGTTAAAACGTCAAATTAAAATTCTTAGGGAACATGATGCAATATATTTAGAGTATAAAAAAATTGAATCAATTTTTATTAAATTAAATATGGAATTATAGATACTCTATATTTGAGGATTTTGAGTATAAATAAATGTATAATACAAGATTACGACTAAATTATGGATAGGTATTGTTTAATTTTTTATTACCTATAAAAATTTAATTCGTCTAATTATCAATGATTTGTAGTTATCAAAAATTTAAATATTTATAATTATGATTGATAGTACCTTTTGGTGATTGCTGAAATATATTTAAATATATAATGAATCTGTATTATTTAATTTTTAATAATTTAATATTTCTATTTTACAGCTAAAGTTAAATACTTTAATCATTGTTGTATTAAGCTGCTTAACATTAATTTAATATGTGTGTACAGAAATAATTATTGCTAATGGTTTAAAGATATTTAAAAAATTAAACTTAGGGGGATACAATGGAGGAGGCGCTTCTCATTTTCTAAGCTTAACAAATAAAATGTATGATATTTGTTTGAAATTATAGTTCTTTATAGCTAAGTGTACATGTAAGATGGTTCGTAACATTTAACTACGAGTATTCAATTTATGCAAAACTGTAGTGAATTTCAAATTGAAGAAAACAAGAAAAAGAGATACTAATATTTGAAATTATTAAGCTATCTTTTAGTATATTATTTATTATATTAGTTTTAGAACAGAATTTCTTATTGGACACATACAATCAGTATCAGCGCTATTATAGAATCAATATATAACAAAAACATTGAAATTTAATATCAACCATAACTGTTAAATTACTTTGTTCACATGAATATTAACGACCTGAAATTTGATAGTCAAAATAACATGATGGATCATGTATTGAAAAAAATATTGGAACTGTAAAATTATTTTCGATTTTTTTTTTAATAAACAAAAGCTAATTTATTTTATTTTTTTCTATTTATTTTTTTTTATTACTCCTTTCTTTTAATTTTCTTTAATTTTAAAGGAATATTATATTCAATTTATAATTTCAATAAGAGAATAAGATGAAGACTTATTCTCTAGTTCTTAACAGACAAGACGCAAAATGTTCGATTTTTTTCTTATACATTCTGTTTTTAAAAGCAGTGACTAAATTTCTCGAATCGCTTTGTAAAATTTATATTGCAAATTTGGTTATTGGCATTTGGTCTAAAAAAATGTTGAAAAGAACCCCAGCAAATGTGATAGCAAGAATACTGAATTTCAGATTCTCTTGTATATTATATTATGTACCTACCGTATCAAGGACACGAGATTAATAATTAGATACATTATTAAATGAAAGACAATTGCATAAAAAGCCTTAGTAGATTTTACTAAGCCGATTGGTTATGTCAAAAGAAAAATAAATAAAATAGATACATGTACGTTAAATAGCTGGTTTGAATTTACAGATGTAAGATAAGAGAAAACGAATATATTTATAAGAAAAAAGAAACCAGCAGAAAGATTCGACATCTTATAATCTATGAAAGTTACAGTCACGATTATTAGCTATATATTATAT